CCTTAGGGGGGGATACTTAAGCTAAATTATAGCAAAATGAATACCTGGGAAATATCATGTCCCTGTGGTCTGTAATCAACAAATCACACTGTGGGAATAAAACCTTGCCATGGACAAAAAGAAAAAGATCCGGTTCTAGCTTTAATTGGTCCCTAGAAACCATTGCTGTCAAGGAAACATGATACATTTCTTGGCATTGCTACAGATAATATGCATCAATAAGCCACACCTTCCTCTGCTTACTCCGATCCTTCACCATGACTTCATTCTCTCACATCACATCTTTCTCAGATTAATCATGTGTGTTTCTACTTTCACACGTACCCCTACTGACATTTATAGGGTTGGGCATGTGTCTGTGCCTAAAGACTAATAAAAACAATGTTCACACTATGGGTCTTAATGCTTAATTCCAATTTATTTGTAGTCTTTTATGCTGATAGTTCACATTTATGTTTGTAAGTGACCATGCACTGAATGTATTTTCAGTAGGATGGGCTGCCTGGGATACATGCACACATGGGTTTAATGTCTACTGCCATGCATAAAATGAAACGGCAGTTAAAATTTGGTGTAGTTTTTTTGTTTAATACATGTTTAGATGTTTTCTAAAATGATTAAGTTTAATTCATTTAGGTCTGTATTAACATTATGACATAAATGTGATCCTGATTAAGCCTGTGTGAGACCTTGTGGCGCAACAGTAGCGTGTCTGACTCCAGCTCAGAAGGTTGCGTGTTCAAATCACGTGAGGGTCATGTCTTTGAGAAAGCGACAGTGGTGTGGTGGGTCGAGCAGTTGTCTCCTAGGTTGAAGGTTTGAAACTCAGTACTTGCAGCTCACATGCCAAAGTGTCCTTGGGTAAGACACTGAAACCCCCTAATTGCCCCCGATGGTTAGAGCCATCAGCTGAGTTGGCACTGCAGATGGCTGCCTCGGTTCTGTACCAGACACAAATTTCTTGTGTGTAACATACTTGGCCAATAAAGGTGATTATGATCCACAATCTCATTCATAACATTTAGCTCGGCAACTTGTCAGAACAACACCACCAACAACAACAAAACACCTTTTATTAGCATATAAATAATTCACAGCGTGAGAAAATACATTGATGGTTTACATCTGAAGGCCTGAAAACCATTAGCAAAAATCAGAGGAAAGATGTTCAAAGTGAGTTGCTCGATGTTTAGAAGCTCTTCTCTGGTAAAGGTAATCTGGGTTGGTTTGCAGAAGACCAAGAAAACAAGGAAATACAACAAACACACAAGAGAGCATACAATCGAGGCAGCTGTCTGCGGCAGTGTGTTCTAGCCTTTCGGGCCAGAATTAGTAGTAGAAAATGTCACACTGTTGTGCTGCATTTAGATGTTATCTCTGTAAGAACCCAACAAGAGGGAGAAACATTTTACATGTTAGAAGTTATCTTACAATATTTTACAATGATTTTAATGTATTACATAAGTTAACTAATCGTATTCCCTGATAAACTGGTGGGTAGGGCGCAGCGCTTTTGCCGCTGCAGCCCAGGTTCGAGTCAGGGTTGCATCAGGAAGGGTATCCGGCGTAAAACACGTGCCAAATGTCAATATGCGAGTCGTCAGTGTGACGATTCGCTGTAGGGGAAAAAGCCAGAAGTGACATTCATTCACACAAGTTAACTAATTCTTCTTTCAAGAAAACAATGTTTGTCTGTCTATGTTTATTTCTCATTTATTTTTTCTTTGATTTGCCAACACTGAATGACAACGACAGGCAATATGCACATGTGCAGAGGAGTGAGACACACAAAAAAAACATGAATATGAATTTTGAGCTTTTGAGTTCTAAGAGTGGTCACTGAGGCTGCTTTCAGACTACATGCTGAAGTGATTAAAATTCAGGGGGCAGTGGAGAGACAAGGGAGTAAACAGGTTGACAGGTCCAAGAAGCATGAAAGTAATCATCGGTGCAACCCAGAGTGCATTGTGAGCAGGTATCTATATCAGTAAAACCCCTTTTTAAACATTTTACCTTGTGTGATGTGAGTCCTGTGAATAGTCTTGTATTGTATAAGCTGTAAGTTTATATTGGTAGCCATGGAAAAAATCTTATTAGAGATCTGGGTCCAGAAATCGAGGCTGAGGGGTAGCAACAAATATTTTTTCCCATTTGGTTATTAGTATTGTTATTGTTGTAACTGTATTTGACATTAGTAAAGTTTACATATTACCTGTATCTTCTTTGAGTTTGTAAATTTCATTATCTCCTCGGCTAGCATGGAAGGTTGCAGGGGGGTTGTTGATTATACTGATCTTTGATTTAATTATGGATTTATGGATTTTAACTGTTGGTACTGGAGAAATTCTCCTCTCCCAACTCAGTACTTCTGGACTAACGTATTGAATGGTATGAGCTGGTTGTTTTTAAATAGATGATGAAAGTGAGTGATTCCTTTGTGTTGACATGTTGGAAAGTGGATGGGGTTGTTATGCAGTTGAAAGTCAGGGTTGTGCCAAATTGGAGTGCATCTACATGGTGTTAATGATGATTTAGTGGTTTTGTTTGCTTTTCACCTGGCTGTCAGTGTTTCAGAGATTGTGATAGTTTTGCAATAGTTCACTTTCTTAATTGAGTATGGTAAGAAGGCAAGGTCTGCAAATGAAGTATTTTTGCATTGATTTTGATCTAGTTCTATCCATGAGCTATTATAACTGTCCTTCTGAATCCATTTAACTAAATATTGTAGTTGATTTGCTAAGAAATAATGATCAAAATCGGGTGCTTCTAGGCCACCTTGTGATTTGTTCTTCTGAAGTGCTGACAGGGAAATTTTGGGTTTCTTGTTATTACAATAAAATTGTGAAGTTAGAGAATCAAATGATTTGAACCATTTCTCCGTTGGTGTTGTGAGAAGCATTGAAAACAGGTAATTTGTGGTAAAGTTTTCATTTTGATTGTAGCAATTGGACCAGCTTCTATTTTTTTAGCAGAGGGGTGTAGTTGATGAAAATGTTGTAGATGAAAACGTTCTGACAGCCTGGGGGACATACTGATACCTAAATATTTAATGTTGTCAGTATGAAGTGGAAGGGGGCAGTCGTGAGCTGTAGAATCCCAGGCATCTTCAGAGAATGGGAGTATGGTGGATTTATTCCAGTTTATTGTATAGTTGGAAATCCTGGATAATGTGTTAATAATGGAGAAAGTTTCTTGTTGTGAACTGTAGGGCTCCTGTAAATATAATAATAAATCATCTGCATAAAGGCTAATTTTATGTTGTGAGTTAGTATCTTGTATTCTTTTGATTGTTCTACTGTATTGCTGCTGCTAGAGGTTCAATGAAAATGGTGAATAGAGATGGTGAGAGTGGGCATCCTTGTCTGGTTCTCTGGTGAAATGAGAAACTTTGTGAGGTTATCCAATTGGTGGTTATTGTAGCTCTAGGTGATGTATATAGTGTTTTAATCCAGTGGATGAAAGACTCTCCAAAACCAAACCTTCATAGTGTGCTGAATGACCAGTTAACTTTGTCGAGTGCTTTTTCTGCATTTAATGATTAAATTATGGTGTTGGTTTGTTTTTGTTGTGCAAGATTGATTAAGTTAAAATAGTCTACGGGTGTTATCCGAAGTGTGTTTACTTTTAATGAAGCCTGTTTGGTCTGGGTGGGTACTAATTATTGAAGTAACTGTCTATATTCTGGTGGCTAGTGCGTTGATGATCATTTTTAAATCTGTGCTAATAAGTGACAGAGAACGATAACTGGAAGGGTGGGGTGGGGCTTTATTGGGGTTCAGCATGGCAGCTCTATTCATATGTGTCGGTACTGTGGAGGTGGTTTTAATTTATGTGGTAACTTTGAGAAATAGCGGTGATAATACCTGGCAGAAGTGTTTATAAAATTCAGCAAGGAATCCTTCAGGTCCAGGTGATTTATTATTTGGCATGGATTTCAGTGCTTTATGGGGTTCATCCAGAGTGATGGGGGCATCTAAGGTATCGGTTTGTTCTCTGGATAGTGTTGGTAATTTTATATTTTTTAGGACCTTATCTATTTCAGATGGATTGGACTGGATTATACAATATGTTTCATGATTAACTGATGGGCGATCAGTCTGCATTAATGAATTTGAAATTAAATATTCATTAATACAGTAGATAGATATGTAGAAGATAGATAGATAGATAGATAGATGAAACACCCTTTATTTTTGTGTTTATTATAATTGGTGATTATTGAATGTGCATGTAAAGAAGTAAGATACTTTTTACTTAGTTTAAAAAAAACTATCATTCTTATTAGAACATACAGTATGAAGCAAGTCATGTGACATAATGTTGAGAAATGTTCCAAGTTCTAAGTTTTAGTTATTAACTTACTGTACAAATGTCAAATAGGACTCAACTTCCAACTTCACTTGGGCTTTCTAAAACAGCTTCCATCTTTCTGGAAAGGCATTCCACAAGATTTTGGAGCCTCAGTAAGAGATTTATGAGACTGGCACTGATATTGTTGTGTTGAAACACAAAAAGGCCTGTCTGTAACTGTTGCCACAAAGTTGGAAGAAGATATTTATCTGAACTATCATTGTGCTGTGCCATTAAAGATTTTCGTTATTTGCAGCTAAAGGGATCTAGCCAAAATAAATAAAACAGAATAATAATCAGGACATGGCACTGTTTCATGTTTGACATAAAAATGACATTTATGATATATAATCACAGTACATGGTGAACATTGTGACAATGCAAATGTAAGATTACAGTTATGGTTTTTCATGATAGTGCTGAATTTAATCAGAAATCTCTGTTTAATGTGTCTTGTTCCTTGGTGAGCATTATAAATCGAGGTCACAGTAGGAAGACAAGCTGCCTAGTAACAGGCTCAGCTACATAAACAGATGCACACACACACACACACACACACACACACACACACACACACACAACCACATATATTTATTTCTGTACCCTTCAAAACTATGTAGCCTATTTTCTCTTTGTGTGTGTCATTATAGGGAGTTTGGCTGGAGGGATCCAGAGCTACCAGAAGTGATCCAAATGCTGCAGCATCAGTTCCCGTCAGTCCAGTCCAACGCTGCAGCCTACCTCCAGCACCTTTGCTTTGGAGACAACAAGATCAAATCTGAGGTATTGATCTCTGTGGAAAAACCACACCAAGAGAGAGGACTAAGTGGTGCTAACTCTTAGGGTTGCTCAAATGTACAGACAGACACAGTATGTTATACTGTAAGAGTGTGTTATAGATAGACAGATATTAGATAGATATAATTACATTATCTATCTATCATTCATTCAACCTTTATACAGGGTAGGACAATGGGAGCCATATCACTCTCTTTTGCATGGACATCCTGTTGACACAAAACAAAACAATTTCACAAGCAAAACAAATATTTGTAATGAAATTTAAACAAAAACGATACATTCAAGTAAGGCGACATAAAACCAAAGTGCATAAAATTTAGATGCAATGAAATACATCAAAGCAGAACCCCTTGTTAGAAACAAAATTTAAGGACTATACTTTAATAAAACAATGAAACATATCAATTATCAGCCAAAGGTCTGGACACACCTTCCCATTCAGTTCAATGAAAAGGTTTGTCCAAACTTTTGACTTGTAGAAAAAAACATTAAAAAACTAAAGTAAATTTGTTTACTTCGAGTTAGTCAGCTACTTTGGCATCTGGCAGATATCAACATCACCTTACCCTCTGAATACCCTGAAATGTCTCTGAATGAGTGACATTTCTCCACCAATGCTTAGGTCACATACATTTATTAACACATAGGACTGCAAGAAATTCTGCACTGAAATGAAAATGTTCTTTCTGTTTCTTCAGTGTCAACTGAATTCAGCTCAGTCTGACTTTATTAGTCATCACAATGGATTTGAGAGCAAACAAATTTCTTCAAACAGCAATAAACACACCAACTTTAAAAATACAGTGTGAGAGGCTGTCATATGAGAAAGATGACTGATGTTAAGATTCTGTAGAAAAATGAAGTATGTGGTACCCAAAGCAAGGATGACAAACTACACCCCCGAAGACCAAGTAGCTGTTTGCCCTTGGGAGAGATGCCTCAATGGTGAAACAATAGACTGGATGCTGATGGATACAAATATCCTTCTGCCTGTTCAGTCTCCTTATAGCACCAGACAGACTGTGTTTTGTGTGCTTAATTTATCTTTAATTGTTAAGGTATCCCTTCTTTTGTGTCACCATTTTTTTTTTTTATTTATTTAACCTTTTTGTTTTTTTTTTACCAGGGAAAACAAAGTAATTATAACTAATTAATAAACAGACAAAAATAGGAACAGGAGCAGGCAACAGGGATTGAAACAGAGGTGCAATTGCAAGTCAATTAATAATTGATAGTTTTAATAATAATCACCTTTACTGGCCAAGTATGTTACACACAGAAGAAATTTGTTTCCGGTACAGAACCGAGGCAGCCATCTGCGGCACCAACTCAACTGATGGCTTTAACCATCGGGGGCAACGGGGGGGTTCAATGTCTTGCCCAAGGACACTTTGACATGTGGACTGCAGGCACTGAGATTCGAACCTCTGATCCTCCGTTTGGGAGACAACCGCTTTATCCACTGAACCACAGTCGCCAAACAAAACACAAACAAAAATGTGCAAAAAATGTATAAATTGCAGACTCATCAAAATAAGTACTATCAGTTTTCTCTCTCATGTCATAATAAAGTGAATCCCTTTAAGTTGTTTAGAGTTGTCCTTAGTACTTGTTTCCAACATTTTTCAGGCAAACAATAATTTGATTAAGCCAAAATTCTAATAAATAATTGATAGATTTGTACATAATAAAAATAACCATTAATTATTTGCTCTTTCTTAAGGTAAAGCAAATTAGTCTGTAAACTGACTGTATTGTTTGGGTGTTTGATTGACTGAAGTTTAATTGTATATTTGTTACCAGTATTGTTACATAAAAGGGCTAACATCTCTTTTAATGTGACATGTCTAAATATGATCTCATTTTTAGATTTTAACCCACACTACATCAGCTAAAATTGTCTTCCTACCTTTATTTGTACTAAAATTAGAATCAGAATCAGCTTTACTGGCCAGGTGTATAGGACTTTGGGTCTGGTACAGCAGCTCTTAATGTGTACGTACATATCAACAAGCAAAGGAATGTGCATTAGGAAAAGAGATAAAAGATAAGAGTAAAGTACTTGTAAATAGAGACCTGTACATATATGTGTGTATACGTATATACACGCCCCCCACTTTGGAGCGGTCTTATTCCTTCCTTCAAACTCGGGTCCTCTACCAGAGGCCTGGGAGCTTGAGGGTCCTGCGCAGTATCTTAGCTGTTCCTAGGACTGCACTCTTCTGGACAGAGATCTCAGATGTTGTTCCTGGGATCTGTTGGAGCCACTCTCCCAGTTTGGGGGTCACAGCCCCCAATACATACAGTAACATTGGTAAGCAGGGATACAGGTGGTATGGTGATGTAGTGGTTAGGGCTGTTGCCTCACTATAAGAAGGTTCTGGGTGCAAGCCCCGGCCGACCCATGGTCTTTCTGTGGAGTTTGCATGTCTTCCCTGTGCCTGTGTGGGTTCTCGTTGAGTACTCTGGCTTCCTCCCACAGTTCAAAGACATGCAGCTTAGATTGATTGGTAACTCTAAACTGCCTGTAGGAGTGTCAGCCCTGTGATAGATTGGTGACTGGATGTATGGATGTGCCTTTGAGGCACTAAAGACACATTGTACAAAATATTCTGAATACCTGGTCTCTGTACATTCTCCTGCATTCAAATTTTTGAAGGGTAGTCTCTCTAGACCAAAGAAAACAAGGAGTGCTGCAGACGTACACAGAGAAAATGATCATCAGTACCACAATAGCAACTGCAAGTTTGTTGAAAAATTAGAAATTAATATTTCCATGATAACATAAAATTAGGTTTCCTTATACCCCAAAAAGAAAAGAAAAGGAAAAAAATAATGTTTTCAGTTACTGTATACTGTGGAATGAAATTGTTAAAAATCACAATGTCATTTGTGAATTTGCCCATACTGTCCTGCTATAGTCATTCTTCCTTCCCTCCTCTGTCCTCAGATCCGGCGGCAGGGCGGTATCCAGCTGTTGGTGGACTTGTTGGACCACCGGATGACTGACGTCCACCGCAGTGCCTGCGGAGCCCTGAGGAATCTGGTGTATGGTAAAGCCAATGACGACAACAAAATTGCACTGAAGAACTGCGGCGGCATACCTGCTCTGGTTCGACTGCTTCGGAAGACCACAGACGTGGAGATCCGAGAGCTGCTCACAGGTAAGAACCACAATGAACTAAAGCTAGGTGATATGGCCAGAAAATTTGAAGAAATTCCATGAAGGTGTTAATGATAAAGGTCGCAGTGACCTTGAACTTTGCCTACTACACAAATGAAAATGTACAAGGTAAAATTTCTGGTGACACAGTCCTTGAGCTTCTTACCATTTAATATAACCATTATATTACATGTACCACCATACTCTACATCTTATCACCTATAGCTTACTGAATGTGATAATATATGCACAATGGCTACAGCTATGCCTGCTAAATTATTAAAACCTAATACACTGGCATCATAACCGTCCTAGGATGAAAATTATAACAGCTTACAGCCTACCCTGTCACTGCTGTGGGAAAAAAGAATAGTGTAGTGTCAATTGCTTCCATACTTACAAAGTTATGCTGGTCATCCAGGTACAACTTGCATACATAAAGAATTTGGGCATATTACTTGTCTCACATAGACATTTTAGCCTACTACATAGTATGCAAGAGACAATTTCCCATTATGTATGGGTTGGATCTGATGTAGAGTTGAAAGGCATGGGAAGTCCAACAACCCATGGTTTTAATGTAATGATCGAGATGCCTTGCTGTGTCCAGTTCAAGCTGCTCCTATTCTGACTAAATGTCTGCAGTCGAGCTTGGGTGAGTTGTTGGAGAGATGGATGCTCTTGATATGGTGAAGGAACCAGAACCTAGTGGCAACTGACCAGAGTTTGAGGCAAAAAGGGGGTCGGTCAGGGAGGTGTTGTGTGTATTCAAAGTTGTAGGTGATGGGTGAGCAGCTCGTATGGGCTTAAGGAAGATTGAACACTGAAATAAAGAATTGGTTGGCGGTGTTGTGATTATGAGTATAAGTGATGATTGGGGTTCGGAATTTCTTTTACAGAAGCTATACTGGATGAAGAAACATGAGAGGCACAGAGTAGGCAGAAGTCAGAAGAGCGGGCAGCTGCTGGTTAGCAGTGTCAAAGAGCACCCATAGCCAATGGAGGGACAAACTGCCTGTAGCAAGGCAGCGGTATTGGTTGTGGAATGATAAAGATGATGTTCATGGAGCTGGTGGCACCTAATAAGGCAACTGCAGTGATGGGACCTGGCGCAGCAGCTCTGGTGGAGGAGAAAGCAGATTGCAGCCCAGATTGGGTATGAGACAGGAAGGCCTTAGGGAGCCCAGTGCCTGTGGGGGAATGGACTGGTTGGCAGTCCAGTGCTGGTGTAGGAAAGAAAACAAGCCTTGCTGGCAACATAGGTTGAAGTCCTTTGATCTGAAACTTCAACTGGTGATGACTATGATTTCAGAGACAAGGATTCAATGAGGTGATGGCATCAAATATGGAAAGAATTCCACACTGACTCAGAGGGGGAGCGTATTCTGGGGCACCAATATTGGGAGTAGCATCCTATGACAGATAGATGAGAGGGTCAGGGGTTAGGTCAGCAGCACTGTAGATGGAAATGAAGGTTTAAGCATCATGAGTTCCTCTGCATCTGGAGCTAATGTCCTAGATCTTGTGATCTGACATATGAACAGAAATACACAGAAACAAGGAACATCACAATGTCCAAAAAACAGAAATGATGTGGACAGCCCAGTGCCTGGGAGTTGTTTCAGCCTTTGTTGATAATGTTGATAGTTGTGGTGTTGTTAAAGCGGAAGAGGAAGGTTTTATTTTGGTGTTCTTGACTGCACAAGATTTTAGTAGCCATGAAGGGATAGATTTTGAACAGAGCTGAGAAAGAACTTAATGATTTGAGGAATTGCCAGAGTTCCAATGGTTATGAGTCTGAGAACCATTATGAGCCCTATGCCCCCAAAACTGATGGGAGTTGGCAGTGGAGATGGGGTCAGTGCCACGAGAAGCATGACGGACACTGAGCTGGAGGAGCTGAGTGAGGGACACTAGGAAGAATTTGTATAGAAGGTGGACAAGGTGTTGAATCCCGTAACTGATATACAGAATGCAGCATGAGTCCATGGTGAAGGTGTTGAATAGCTTTGGGTGGCTGTATAGCTGAACTGAGTATAACTCTGAAATGGAATGAATGATGGTAAGGAACTCTAATAGGTGCCAAAAATCTGGATGAAGAGGCAGGACATGAAGAAGTTGACTATGGCCACCACTGAGAGCCAGGCATACCTTGCGGGGAGCTTTGATCATGGGCTGTCACATATTTTGGAGAACTTCGTCACTGAAAATGAGCATGAAAGTGCACAAGCACAGGTGGGAGATGTTTGTTACTGAAGAAGAAGAGAGAATACTAGAGCAGCCTGTTGGCATCAGGACAGTCGACTGGAGAAGTACTGGAGGTCACTGTGGCCCATTGCTCAATACGCTGTGCAGTCTGCTGGACACCAGGGATGGTGGAGCAGGGTCAGCAGTATTACCTTCAAGAAAGCGGAAGTTTGAGATGATCCTATGATGGAGAGAAAACAACTTGTTGTTGGATGGTGAAAAGATTGAACAGTCCAGGGTGAATGTTGGGACTGACGAAACAAACTGGCGAATACAAAATAAACGCATAGCAAAACACAGGCACACACAGGGCAACGTAGAATGAACACAAAGCATACGCAAGCAGATGATCATCAAACTCAGAACAAACACAGGGCAAACACAGAGCAAACGCAAGCACATGATAGTCAATGAACCAGTGGGGAACAACAGAAAGGAAGGTGTATATATAGCGAGCTAGACCGGGAGATAATGAGTGGCAGGTGGATGAAATGACGGCTGATTAGGGTGACGTGGCAGAACGGTAATGAAAGACGGGGAAAAAAATAACAGAAACCAGGAAGCAAGGTCCAAACCATTACAGAGTGACCACATGTACACCCTCAACCTGTCTGACAAAAAGCGGAAGCAGAACTAAGCCTTTCTTGGAGGTTTAAATATGACTGGGAGAAGAAGGCGTGTGAGCTTCGGGTGTGCCCTGCTCCTGGACTTCAAATTGAAAAATCTCCAACATGGGGTGACACTGGAAAGTGAGACAGTTCATGTTTGCTGCTATATGCTGTGGTTTTGAAATTGGTACAAGAACTAATATCAGAATCTCAGAGACACACACTGTTCCTCTTTCACTCCATACTTTTGTCTCAGGCTGTTCCATCTTGGACCAATTGCAGAAGCAAACTATTTCCATATCACTGAGGTAACATGACTACCTTTCTTTGGTATTATTTGCCCTCTTTAGCTGTGGTGGGCACCATTACTCAAGGTTGTTGACTGGCCAGTCTGTCACATACAGGCTCCTCCAAAGAAATGCTGCTTACATTACTGTCATAACTCCAGAGAACTGCTGGCACTAATGTTTGAGTGACAGCAGAGAAAGTACTCATCAACAGAAATTTTTACTTCATTTATCCATCCATTATCTATACCACTTATTTCTGATTAGGGTCACTGGAGCCAATCCCAGCTGCCACTGAACAAGGTACACTCTGGACAGGTCACCGGTCCATCACAGGGCCGACACGTAGACAGACAACCACACACACATTCACTACTACAGGCAATTTAAAGTCACCAATCAACTTAAGCTGCATGCCTTTGGACTGTGGGAGGAAGCCGGAGTACCCAGAGAGAACATGCAAACTCTACACGGAAAGGCCCCGGGTAGGCCGAGGCTCGAACCCAGACCCCAGAACCTTCTTGCTGTGAGGCGACAGCACTAACCACCATGCAACTGTACCACCCTAATTTAATTTAATTTAATTTAATTTAATTTAATTTAATTTAATTTTATATAACACCCAGACCTAAAATGTATAAACACTGGTGCTCTGGTTGTGCAGCAGAAAATGAGATCATAGTATATCTCTTTTGTACAATTCTTTTGTACTTCCTCAGAAAAATACCTACTGTTTTTAGTATACAGTCTTATGCAAAAGTTTAGGCACCCCTTGATAAATAACAGATTTTGGTGATTTTTTATTTGAACAGATGTTAACACAGTTTCTCTTGGAAATGGAAAAAATGCACAATATTTTCTGCAAACAGTGATGCATAGTTACTTCTTATGCCATAAATTGAACAAAAATAAAAAATAAAAACATTATTATGGCATGGTGCAAAAGTTTGGGCACCCTAAGAGTTCCAGAGTCTCAAAGTCTCTCACAAGGTTTCAGACCTTAATCAGCTCATTAGATCTGATGCACAGCAACAGCTGTCATTGGTAAATGCCAATTTCAAAGCTGTACAAATACCTTGACTCTTCAAACCTTGTGCACACACTTGCGGACACCCAGCAACCATGGGTTCCTCTAAGCAGCTGTGTAAGACCCTGAAAATGAAAGTTATTGATGCCCACAATGCAGGAGAAGGCTACAAGAAGATAGCAAAGCGTTGTCAGCTTGCAGTTTCCACAGTAAGAAATGTAATTAAGAGATGGCAGATCAGGGGAACTGGGGAGGTCAAGATGAGATCTGGAAGACCAAGAAAACTCTCGGACAGAACTGCTCGTATGCTGGTCAGAAAGACAAATCAAAACCCACATTTGACTGCAAAAAACCTGCAGGAAGATTTAGCAGACTCAGGAGTGGTGGTGCACCGTTCCACTGTGCAGCGATGCTTGCACAGACAAGGCCTTCATGGAAGAGTCAGCAGAAGAAAACCTTATCTGCGTCCCCATCATAAAATCCAACGTCTGAAGTATGCAACAGGACATCTACAGAAGCCCGATGCGTTTTGGAAACAAGTGCTGTGGACTGATGAAGTTAAAATAGAACTCTTTGGACACAATCAGCAAAGGCATGTTTGGAGAAAAAAAGGAGCAGCATTTCATGAAAAGAACACCTTGCCAACTATTAAGCATGGGGGTGGATCTATCATGCTCTGGGGTTGTGTTGCAGCCAGTGGCACAGGAAACATTGCACGGGTGGAGGGAAGAATGGATTCCACTAAATACCAGCAAATTCTGGAAGCAAACATCACACCATCTGTAAAAAAGCTGAAGCTGAAAAGAGGATGGCTTCTACAACAGGACAATGA